TTTATTTTTCTTTCTGGAAAAATTGACGAGATTTATCTAGAAAGATATTGTGACAGGACATTGCGGTCTCATGTGTAAAATGTACTCCAGAAGACAACAGTGGCTAAGCGACCTGCCTTTTAGGGCAGCTCTACTCACCTCATCCCCTTCTTCATCTCACTTGTCCATGCGGTGGTTCGCCTCGACAGTCCTGCGACCCCGATCGTTCTCAGAACACACCGGCGACATCGAGTTTTTAGCACTTTATCTTGAAATCAGAAAATCTCTTTCTCGCAGAGTTTCATGAATTGCCTTTCACCTATTCCGAGGTCATGGTCAATATATCAACAAATCAAGGCGAAGAAAAACAATTACTATTATTTTCTATATTCATCAACTTTATTGAATTTGTTTTTTCTCTTTTTATTTTATGTGGAAAAAAACTGTCTTTGCCAGTTGTGCGCAAAATTAATGGTTTCATCATAATCCATTATATTATTCACCTCGAGAGTATATTATCTAATCGATAAATCGAACCAACTGATGGTCATTCGAGAATTTTCATTGGTGATTTAGGTTTTGGATAGTATCACTTTTTGGACTTTTCACTGACGACTCTTTTATGGCCACAGAAAAACAAAGAAAGTTACTTTTGTTGCCCATATACTTTGCCAGACATTTAAATTGACAGATTAGTTAATCATATTGTTGATAGAAATAATAGTATTTACTTTTTTTAATTTATTTTGAAGTTAGATTATTGAAAGTGTATGGGGCACGTGACCACTGAATAACATAACTAATTAAAAAATTATAATAATAAAAATTATTGCTGAAGAAAAAATTATATTAAAATAACTATATTTACATTTAGATTATAAAGAATTTTATTTTCGATTTGTTGTTTGTAAAATCAATGTTGTAATTGAAACCGCATACAATGTCGGATAATACTAAGTATTTTTAATATTATACAAATAGGGGGGGGGCTAATGATAAGAAAGAGGGCATAATTATATAAAAGAATGTTTTAATGATTGAGGGATAAAATTGGCAAAGGAAGGATGAAAGAAGTTCAGGAAATCAGAAGCAATGTGTCGAGATGAGTAATTGCGGATCGTGAGGCAACTAATGACACAGGTGGATAAAATGCCAACGAGCCAAACTCTCCGAGAGAACTTCCAGGATCGGAAGAGGATACAAATTGAAAGAAAATAAAAGGAGATGAAAAGAGGGGAAAAAAAGGAGAAGAACAAATTCAATGTCTTTCAGTGATGAAAAAAATTTGACAAAATAAAACCCACATCGCCACTAAAAACTTTTGGGAGTGAATAAATATTTTTCAGCGTGGAAGAAAATTAATCAATCTGATTAATATATTTAAAATAACACGTGAATATATTTGAGAATTTCTCGAATTGCATGTTTAAAAATATGAAATTATTACGATATGAAAATTTACAGCTTATCGTGTTTTATTTATTAGAAATAGTGTTTATGACTAGACCGCTGGAGAAATGTTCCTAGCGCGTATCATTCGTGATCGTACATCTTTGTAAAACCTTGTGGCAGAACATGCGAAGCTCCATAAGCTAAATCTGCATAATGAATTATATTTCCCTCCAAAGAAATTTTCTTGATAATTAAGTTATTGAGTCTTAAGAGATTGTGATTTAATTAGATGAAATGCAACGAAATAACTTCTTATTTTTGATAAGAATATAAAAATCTAAAAAAAGAAGATGATATATAGACGGAAAATAACCGGACATTGGAAATTTTAGACATTATAGAACGAAGGAATATTTTGTTTTCCAGTATGAAAATGTAGGTAAGAGGTCATAAACACAAGATTCTAGTCAACTATCAAGAAAAGATGAGCACGAGTTTAAAGAAACGGTTATCTAGAATTTTCAAGGGACTACATCATGCAAAGAAACTACTTATCAAATGGTATACTATTTGATGGATAGTTTGAATGTGATCCGGGACCTTTTGTAATAGTAGGATAAGTGCTTTCTTTCCTCAAGAAATGGATCACCTTACCTTTACCGAATTGAGAAAATAATAATCAGAAAACAAAAAGATCTAGTCAAAACTGTTTTAAATTTCTTGAAAAACAATTGTACCCGTAGATACTTTTATCTTTTAATCCTTATCACCAACCGATGATATTACATTTTAAAAAATTAAGAGAACAAGTTGCATCATAAGTAAATACCCCCTAGAATGTCAGTTCCACTGGAAGAATAGTAAACAAAAATACGGTCAGTATCGAGAATTTTTATTGCTTTTAGAGTTTAAAAAAAATTGCCCTCTCTTATTCACTCTGACTTGTAAAATACTACTGGCACGTGATTGCCATCGCTACTAAATTCATCGTCTGATCCGTGCGACCATGACTCTACAGAATGCATGGGTACACGTATGTGAAGCATTTACCGGCAGTTTGCATTCACGTCCTGCTCACGTCGGAAAAATCGTGTCCCTGTGAGTGATAAAGGTCCACTTCACCGAAAAACGTGAGAAAGCGCATCATCAAGACTCATTTATTTTCGTACACGAGAGACGATAATTTTGTGTGAAGGTTTTTTTTTTAAATGCTGTAATGATAGTGTTTGGAAAATAATTACGGTATTAGTCGTAAATGATTATGAAACTCTTTCTGTGTAGGATGTTGATGTTTTTTTTGGGTTGCTGATAATGATTGTATTATTTTAGTCTGTTTGATTGTTATGAGGTTTTGGGATGTTACGTTTGTTTGCTGTTCTAGTGGATTATTTTTAGGTAGGTAGGCTAATGATTTAGCAATCATTAGGACACCAACAATGTTGCCTACCTACAAAAAAATAGGAATTTCTGTATTTTGATAGCATATTGCTATTTGTATTTTACTAATTTTGCAGTTTCTGTACTTTTGGTACCAACATTGTTGGTATATTAATAATGTATCAGTTTCTGCACTTTTCGTTCCAGCATTGTTGGTATCCTAATAATTTGACAAAGTTCTGTAATTATTTGTACCTTTTGGTTTAGCTGTAACTTTATAGACTTCCGTATTTTTAGAACCAAGATGATGCAAATAAATTTAACTAACACTTTAGAAATTTCTGCATTTTTGGTCTATACTTTTGGTAGCAGAATCGTTGTTGATATCTTAGAACTTTAAGATCTTTGGTGCTTCATTAGTGTCAGAATACTTCAGATTGTTCTAAATTTCTCTTTCCACTGTGGTCTTAGTTTATTAATACTTTAGGATCTTCTGTATTTTTAATACCACTATAATGTTGGTACCCAAACACTTTGGGAGCTTTTGCATTTTTTGCATTCGTTGGCATTCTAGAACATATCTGTGGTATCACATCATCGGTACCAAAATATTCTCAAATTGATGAGTGATTTTAACTCATGTATGTCTGATGATATCTAATCTGTACTCTAAATGATAAGCTGGTTTTTCCGGAAGCACATTATCTTTGATAGTATAATCCTTTTTGTTCGTATCTTTAGAAGTTGTAACAGCAGTAATTACTATGACTACTACTGCAGCATTCAAAATTGTGATGCTTTCAAAAATACAGAAGCTTTTAAAGCAAATCTGCAGTAATTACTGTTACTACTACAGTATTTAAAATTATATTTTTAAAAATACCGAATCTTTTATATGATACCAACAAATGCAGAATATCAAGAAGCTTCTAAAAAATGAGGATACCGATAGCAGGATAGTACGAAAAAATTTAGAATCATCTGCACCATTAGGATACCAAAACAATGCATCAAACATATTGCATGATAGTACAAGAAATTTAGAGTCTTCTGCACCAATAGGCTAGCAGAACAATGCATCAAAAATACTGCATGATAGTACAAAAAATTTAGAGTCTTCTGCACCAATAGGCTAGCAGGACAATGTACCAAATATATTGCATGATAGTTCAAAAAATTTAGAATCATCTGCACCATTAGGATAGCAGAACAATGCACCAAACAATGTACCAAAAATATTGCAAGATAGTACAAAAAATCTAGAGTCTTCTGCACCAATTGGATAGCAGAACAATGCACCAAACAATGTACCAAAAATATTGCAAGATAGTACAAAAAATTTAGAGTCTTCTGCACCAATAGGATACCAAAACAAAGCATTAAAAATATTGCCTCATAGCACAAGAAATTTATAGTCTTCTGCACCAATTGGATAGCAGAACAATGCACCAAACAATGTACCAAAAATATTGCAAGATAGTACAAAAAATCTAGAGTCTTCTGCACCAATTGGATAGCAGAACAATGCACCAAACAATGTACCAAAAATATTGCAAGATAGTACAAAAAATTTAGAGTCTTCTGCACCAATTGGATAGCAGAACAATGCACCAAACAATGTACCAAAAATATTTGTGGATTAAAAAATAGGTGCACTATTACTAATCTGTTATTACACTCTTACTGCCAATTGGATGAAGATGAAAGCAAATCAGCATCATACTGAAAGTGATACCAAAAAGACGACTACCGCTAAAGTTTTTGTAGTCTTTTTGTAAACTCCTTTTAGAATTAGAAGCAGTTCAAGCAGAGGAAATATAATAAGGATGAATGGATAAAGATGAAATGAAGATCTGTTGAATAAATAAAGCAGAGTGATAGAGAATGAATAAGAGGTTTGGAGAATGATCGGAAGGGAATACATATATATAAGAGAGAGAAGGACAGAGAGGAAGAGAATCGCATTTCGGTAAATGTGTCGAAGCGAGCGGCTCTTGGAGAGCGGTGTCGTTGCCCTCTTCGGGTTTGCTCGTGCTTACATTGCTCGCTGGCTGACTGCCTACCGTCGTATCCACTTGGCATGTTCTCTCTGCTGCTGGGCTGCTTCGAGCTATATCCTGTCCCCTCCGCTTATACACGAGCCATCCTCTCTTGATTCCCTCTCCCTTTGTAGGAGCACCTGTCGCTACACACGGTGACTTTAACGTTAGGGGCTCACCAGAGGTAACTAGACGGGTTATCAGTCGGCGCAACATCTTCGTCGCGACGGGACATAGAGAGCGACCTAATAGAATACTGATTAATCACAAGACTGGTTACCGCAACTTTCGCATATACATACCTATATACATACATATATACATCGAAGGGGGTGAAAAAAAATGTGGTGCAGTTAACTTACAACACAAAAATTTCACCCTTAGATTTGAATTCAATTTTTGTCGAAGATACAATTTTTTAATCTACAATTTTTTTCAACCTTAATTTTTTTAAATTCTTTTTTAAAAAGAATTAATTCTTAATCCTGTTTTGGGTATTCTTTGGACAAAAAAATACTGTTAGTATTTGTGATAAATCTGCGTTAAGTTTGTGGCCTTGGGTTCGAAGGTATTTTTGATTTTTTTTTCTGGTTGACAGTGGTGGGAATTTCTTGAACGACATGTGATTATTAGAACTGAGGAGAGATAAACGAACAATGTGAATTGTGTTTGAGGGCATTATCGAAGGATTCTTATCGAGAAAGAGAGAGAGAGAGAAACTGGTTTGTGTGTCGTTTATTTCGTTATCGGTTTTATCGAAAAGCGCATTAAAAAGGGTGAGAACAATTGTCCTGGACCAAACGACCAGGGGGGTAGACACACTGGAAGGTAGTCGGGATGCGGCACACGGAGCCGCTTAGCTCCAGGTAACACGTGGCGACTTCACGCCTTCCGCACTCATTAGGTAAGAGCATCATCAACGTATAATGATGACATTTTTTTGGAAAATTGTTTAATTTTGTTTTTTACTGCATCTTCCTCTCTCTTTAAAGAAAATGTTGTATCTTCCTCTTGTTCGCAATATAACAAAAAATTTTCGATTTAACAATAAAGCATTAATCGATATTTGATTGTATTACAGTAAAACCTGTCGGAATGCAACTCGATTGTTTAAATTTATTGCAGTAAACAATCTGTAAAATTTTAATTTTTAAATTATTACATAAGTTAATTTTGTAATATTTTTACAATATTCCGGAACTAATTAAAAATTATTTTTGTTCGACATGTTTGAATGCAATACGAATTTTAAAATTGAGTTGCATTTCAACAGGTTCGACTGTATAAGAAAACTAATATTTTAGTTATTTGAACATTTAATGTTTAAAAATTTACTAAATTGATTAATTTAATTAGTAAATAAAATAATCCATTTTAAAAATTAAATGATTAATTATATGGTTTAAATAAATTTTATCTGGTTTAAATAAATTGTATTTGGTTCAAATAAATTTTCATTTAAATTAAATAAAATTTCTCTGAACGAAACAAAATTCATTTGAACTATTTGATTTATTAAAATAACATTTCTTTGAATACATAAAATTAAAATATATAAAATATAAATAATGTTTGAAAAAAATATAAAAATTTATTCTTCTAAAATAAAAACATATGTGTATTTAATAGAAGAAAATTAAATGAAATATAAAAGTTCATTTGATAGAATATGTAGTCTATTTGACTTAGAGACAAATATCCTTTTTTGTTTGACACAAGTAAATTTTATTTTACTACTTTCAATTTAAATAATTTTTTTTTCCAAAGAAAAATTATAGCTGTTACAGTTTTATTGTTTTTTCGGTAAAATTTTATTTTCTTTCAAGTTTATTGTTCAATTTTTATTGTTTATTCGACAAAAATTTATTTCCTTTCAAGTTTATTGATAAATTTTTTCAGAAACTTGAGAATATTTTTTCGAGACACATTAAAGGGGAAATTGTGTACCATAAAAATCCCGTATTATTTGATCTTTCGTCTTTTATTTATTCTTTTTTCGAACAGCTGATCCTCTTTAATTTAATGTATTTTATGAGAGGATCGAATTTTGAATAGAATCTAATTGAGCAGTTATAAAATGTTTATGTAGAAATATTTTTTTTCTCGCTTATGAAAAATATTGACTATTGGCTGTAAATTATATATTATTTGTTAATAAGAAGAATATAGTGGAAAATATTATAATTTATGAGTTAGAAGAAAATGAAGAGATTGTGTGAAGAGTCAGAAAACTATTAATTTAATTCTTGTACATCAATTAAAGATGATGCTGGGGGTCAATTAATCATGCAGGAAAATTATACTTTAAAATTGTATTTATTTATCATTGGATTTTATAGAGATTATTATGATATTGACAGTATCATTATGCTTTGTCAATCATTATATTTCTTTGATGAATTTATCTAAATTGACTATTTTGTTTATATATTTTATTTGTTTCATTGCAGTTATTTATTATTTCTATTTTATTTGTCAATTTATTTTATTTATCTTGTTTTGTTATTAATTTTATTATAATTTTTTTAGTTTTTCAAATTTATTATTCTACTATTTATTTATTCACGTTTTATTTACTTTATTAGAAAAATGTTAATTTTTTCCCCGATATTTTACCATATTGTTGTTTAAATAAATTTTTCAAATTATAATTAACTTGTTGATAAATAAATAAAGAAATAAATAAATAAAATTTAATTAAAACAAAAAACAATTTTTAAAATTGAAAAATTCAAATTTTGTATTTATTTATTTTAAATAATTTTTGAAAAAACAATTTTTTTCCTCTTGAAGAAATTTTATCACATGATTGATTTAAGAGTAATTAATATCATTATTATAAGTAGAACAGTTTTGAGATTTAATGATAATAATTCACTTAACAGCCCTAAGTAAGTCAACACTTTGTAATAAAGTCTCGAGGAGGGGTTCCGCTAGAGAGTGTTGGTTATAGTCAAGTAAATAACTAAGTTAATGTATATAAATAATTCTCCTTGACAGTCGAAAAAAAAATTCTCTTCAGCTAATTGATGCCGTTACAAAGTAAATTACTAATTCACAAAACGATATTAAACATTAAAAACATTTATTCAAGTCATTATTTCCTTATTTCCGAGATAATTATTGCATTAGACATGAAATACAAGATTGTCCGTATTTTATACACTTTCGAGTTTTTTCTTCATTTTTTCAAATATAAAATATATTTATATTTATTCTTCTCTTTATATATTTTTATTTTTCATTTTATTTTTTATATAACTTTATTATTTCTGGCGAAGAAATTTTATTTATTAATTTCTTTATTTACATTTTTATTCAATAATTGTAATACATTTTTTTTAATAACTTTCTTATTTACATTTTTCGTTAATAATTGTAGGGGAATGTAGTCAAGGTTGGTCTACTGTCTAGGTAGGCCATCGCGATTTTTTGGACAAGTTCACTAGCGCCACCTACACGCATGCTTGTCGAAGCTTATCTTAGTGTAACCTAACTTTTTGTTCAATTACATTTTCGGAGGATCGAAAATTGTGTTTTCTGTGACGTCGGTACAAAAAAAGCTCAAAAAAAGTTTTGTGCATAATGTGAAAAACCATTAATAAAAGATAAAAAACAAATTGAATCGTCAAGGCAAGTATGCAGAAAATTTGTGGGACTCATGGTTGAAAGGAAAACAAAGTAAAAAATCGAATCCCGAAACGTATTTCTTTATGGTTACAACAATTCGGTAATGTTACTTACTGTCAAGGTCGGCCACTATGTGTTTAAAATGCGCAAAGTTGAGGACGAGCTACTTCATTTGCAAAAACTGCAATTCTGTATAACTCATAATATAATTGATCATCTTATTAATATTTTTATTTAATTTTATTAATATTTTAGTGCAGAATTTTTTTTTATTTATATTTATTTTTTTATATTGTTTATTGTTATTATTTTGTTATTTTATTAAGTTACAAACTGTAAACAATAAAGAATCAATATTCCGTAACTCCAAACATGTTATTTTATTTTTTAACGATTAATGCCCTTTGAATTTTAAACATGGCCGACCTTGACTGTAATGGCCAACCTCGACTACAAATTATTTTTTTTTTAAATCTTTATAACTTTTTCATTTTAAAACCAATCAATTTACTTTGTACAGAAAAGATGTTCCTATTAAACAGGACTTTCCAACCATATACTTCAATTGTCCAAATTCATTTTTAAAAAAAAGTTATAAACAAAAGTCAAAAAGGTGGCCGACCTAGACTATGTTCCCCTAATATTTTTTAAAAATATTTATTTACTTATTTATATTTTTAGTTACTTTTAATTATTTTTTTAATAATTTCCTTATTTGTATTTTTAATAATGCTTTAAATAGTTTATTATTTACATTTTTAATTCATAACTATAATAATTCTTGTCAATATTTTCGGTAATAATATTTATTTTTATTAATAATTTTTATTAATAATTTTTGTCAATAATTTTGTTAATAATATTTTTTGTTAATAACTATATAATAATTTTTTTTTAATTTTTAGTTATTAGCTGCAATAATTATTGTCAATAATATTTTTAGTTAATACCTATTAACTTTTGTCAATAATTTTGTTTACATTACATTTGGTTAATGTAATAATTTTGTTAATAATATTTTTAATTAATAACTAATAAATAAATAATAATAAACAAATAAATAATAATAATAAATAAAATAATAAAAATAATAAATAAATAATAATTTTTTTTAATAATTTTATTAATAAGATTTTTAGTCACAATGTTTTTTCTCTTATTTATAAAAAGTAGAATTTCGCGCAACAATGAAATAATATTATAGTAATATTGAGATCTAGGTGAAAATTGATAAATAAGTGGCAAGAATGTGCAAAGTGGATTTATGTTAATAACGAGAGATAAGAGAAATGAATAAGATCTGTGTTTCTGAGGATATAACTTTATGACAACGTTCTCACTAGGATTTAGTACGTAATAACATAATTGCAGTTTCAAAGTGTCTTAAAAGCGCTATGAAAACACTTAATCATTGAATAAAATTTATTAAAGTTGAACTTTATTTTCCTCACTGACAATTGATTCCTTGTCAATTAATTTTTATTCTAATTTGAAACATTTTATTTTTAATTAACGATTTTTATTTATCAGTTATATGAACTTTTTCGGTTACTATCAATAATAATTTAGTAATCATTATTTTTAATAATACAATATTATTAAAGATTAATGATAATAATTAATTAATATTTAAAAATTATTTTAACTTTTTGTGTCACTATTATTAATTTGAACTATTTATTATTATTTACTATTATTGATCAAGAAATTAAAAAAAACTGAATGAATAAAAAAAATGTATTATTTATTACTATCTTATTAATCATAATTTTTATTTTTGTCAGCATTATTATTATGATTATTGTTATTAATATAACTAATTAATTATTATTTATTTACTATTAACGGACTTACAAAAAAGCGAAAAATTATTAAATAAATAAATAATTATTGTTATTAAATTAAATATTAATAAATACTATAGAATAAAATAATTTATTATCATTCCGTTTGATAATAATAATAATCTCTAATTCGTTTGATCAAGAGGATAATTGCAAGCTTTTTGTTTCATGTTCATATATTTTTTTCAATAAAATTTTTCCTTTGTAATTCTTGTTTAGTGGAATATTTTGACTGGAAATTTTGTAATCGAAATAATTTTTAGTAAATTATTTTTGAAGTCACACAATTTATTTAACTGATTTTATGAAAGAAAAAAGGGAAGAAGAAGAAGAAGAAGAAGATCCTTTACTGTGACTAACGAACTGTGTTATAATTTGAAGTTTAAAATTGAACTTGAAATCCCCACTTCAGCAAAATAACTTTTCCCTG